TGTCCCTCAGCTCTTCGGCTCAAGGCTAGCGCTCTACCACTTGAGCCACAGCGCCACTTCCGGCTTTTTTTCTTTTTGCTTATGTGGTGCTGGGGAATTGAACCCAGGGATTCAGGCATGCAAGGCAAGCACTCTACCACTGAGCTACCTTCCCAGCCCTCTCTGCAGGTTTTTATTTCTTTGTAAAGAGAACAAGTCAGCAGTGGGGGGGAGACCAAAAAAAAAAATGTTGTGGCCCTCTATTCTTACCCCTCCCAGCTTTCTGAAACTTTTATAGGAACTCTCACCTTGGGCTCTACTTTGCTATAGGCCTGTTCATATGCTTATGATCTTTTCAGGACACCAAGATATGTTTTCTCATCCTCCCTGTTCAGCCTTCCTAAGAATTCTATTGTAAATGTTGATTTGTGGGAGAAAGTGCTGGAGCCAGCTAGTTGTCATGGAAACTATACCCTGCTCCCATAGCTTGACTTCTCCATTTTGGATAACTACTGAGCTGGATGATGACTTGTGAGCTTCTTTCAAATCTAGTTGTTTTTCAAATTTTCACTTTGGTTTCTGAAAGCAGGTAATTGTTATATTCTACTGCCAGTGTTTTATAGTTTCTACCTGATAATCTAACTTGCTCTTGGTTAGTTGGCCTTGTTGGATTTGTGAGGGGAAATCTTTGTTGTCCTAGGGGACATCTGTTTTCCTAGAAGAGACAGAACTAAAGAGTACTTGTCTTTGTGGTGTTTTGAATAGAGCTACAAATGGTCTCTTAGTAATTTCATCTTATATAGACTCCTCAATTTTCTTTTCCGGTAGCCTGGTAGTTAGATTGTAGTTTCCCTTCCTAAGCCCTTAACCTCCTATGTTTGTATGTGGAAATTTTTGTTCCAATCAGGATTGGAAACGAGAGTCTTTTGGGCTATATTTCTCCCCATAGGGCTGGTGGCCCAGATTTCTATAGCTGCCACCACCTATCTGCTCAGAGGAAATCAGGGTAATAGAATTCAGGCACAATCTGGACTGTAGAGAAGAGATCATGTTTACCAGGCACTTAGATAAGCATCTGAGCTGGATAGTTTGCAAGGCTGATTAAATTCTTGTATCATTAAGGCAGTCATAGGAAGGATTTTTTTTTTTAATTAAGAAGTAAGACGGGGCTGAGAAGGTGGCTCAGTGGTTAGAGTTGCTTGCCTTGCACGCATGAGGCCCTGGGTTTGATTCCTCAGCACCACATAAACAGAAAAAAACCAAAAGTGGCGCTGTGGCTCAAGTGGTAAGAGTGCTAGCCTTGAGCTGAAGAGCTGAGGGACAGCACCCAGGCCCAGAGTTCAGGCCCCACGACCAACCAAAAAAAAAAAGAAGTAAGGCAGTGTCTTGCTATGTCCCCGGGTGAATTTTGTAATGCTGCCTCAGCCTCCAGAGTGGTGGAATTACAGGGGTATGCCATTATTCCTAGTAGAAGGATTCTACAATTAAAATATATGCACAATGCAAGCTATCTCCTTTTCTGGGTTCTCATTCCACTGACCAGCCATGGATTTACTTGGGCTTGAGATTGAATTTTGTTATGGATAGAGCCCAGGGAAAAGATTTTCCTAAGTTGTATTGAAGGGTAATTCTAAAGAGGCAACCAGAGGAATAAAAGAAACAATTGAGAAATTTGGATAAATAATGGTAGGAATTACGGAAACATTCTTTACTGTTGTTTTTTTGGTTGATTGTTTGGTAATTCCATCAAAACGGTTAATGTTAGCTAGAAACAACTTGTCTAAAGAAGGTAGAGAAACACAAAATAGGTAAGGAACACATTTGAAGAGATTAAGAATATTGTTCAGTCTGAAAGTCTGTTATGGAAGATAATTCCTTTAACTAGTCTATTTCCCTGCCCCCCCCCCATATATTTTAGGATAAAAGTTATTGGATGATTAACAACTTCAGTTAAGCAGCAAGTTAGTAGAATATACAAGATTCCCTCTTGAAAGAAACCTTGTGGGACTGGGAAGATGGCTCAGTGGTAGAGTGTTTGCCTTGTATGCACGAGGCTCTGGGTTTGATTCCTCAGCATCACATAAGCAGAAAAAGCCGGAAGTGGTGCTGTGGCTCAAGTGGTAGAGTGCTCGCCTTGAGCTGAAGAGCTGAGGGACCTCACCCAGGCCAAGTTCAGGCCTGGTTTGGTCTTTGTTGGTTGTGGGGCTTGAACTCTGGGCCTGGGCACTGTCCTCAGTGCTTCAGCTCAAGGCAAGTGCTCTACTTGCCACAGTGCCACTTCCAGTTTTCTTGTGGTTAATTGGAGATAAGAGTCTCACTTACGTTCCTGCCCAGGCTGGCTTTGTACTGCAATCCTCAGATCTCAGCCTCCTGAGTAGCTAGGATTATAGGTGTGTGCCACGGGTTCCCCAGCCTGGGTGTATTTTATAAAGTAGAAAACAAATAAGCAAAGCTGAGTGCTAGTGGCTCACTCCTGTAATCCTAGCTAAGAGGCTGAGATCTGAGGATTGAGGTTCAAAGCCATCCTGTGCAGGAAAAGTCCGTGAGATTCTTATCTCCAATAAACTACCAGAAAACCAGGAGTGGCACTGTGGCTATAATGGTAGAGCACTAGCATTGAGCTGAAGAGCTAAGAGACAGCGCCCAAGTCAAGTTCAAGCCCCACAACCAACAAAAAGAAAATAAGACAAAAACACTCCATGTGGAACATGGAGTTTATTGATGGGGAAGGGATAATACATATGTAGATATATATAACTTCTAGTATCTGACTCAAGACAGCTTTTACCTTGCTAGACTCCAACCTCTTCACTCTAGTAAACTCTAGTCTTTATGTTAGTTGCCAGTTCTTTTCACCATTTTTCTGCATCTCTTTTCCATTCTTTCATTCAAACCTAGGCTGAGGCTGAGGTGGCCTCCTTGAACCGCAGGATCCAGCTGGTTGAAGAGGAGCTGGACCGAGCTCAGGAGCGCTTAGCCACTGCCCTGCAAAAGCTGGAAGAAGCAGAAAAAGCTGCTGATGAGAGTGAGAGGTATAGAGGGAAGTTTGAGGGGGTATGAATTTAAGAAGAGGGTCATGGGCTCGGGCTGCATCCCGCTGATATGCACACCACAAAAATGTGAGAAAAAACAAAGTTCAAAAAGCTTCTGACCTAGATCTTATAAATCTTTTGTAATTGTTTTTTTTTTCTTTTTTTTGGGGGGGGGAGAGATTAAGGATTGAAACCAGGTTCATCTCCCATTGATACACATTCCTGGCCAGCCCCAGAGCTGTTTTTTGTTTTTGTCAGCTGTGGGACTTGAACTCTGGGCCTGGACACAGTCCCTCAAATCTTCAGCTCAAGGCTAGTGCTCTACCACTTGAGCCACAGTGCTACTTCCAGTTTTCTGTTGGTTAATTGGAGATAAGAGTCTCACAGACATTCTGCATGGTCCGGCTTTGAACCACGATCCTCAGATCTCAGCCCCCTGAGGGTTTACAGGCATGAGCCACTGGCACCCAGTCAGCTGTTTTATTACAATAGTAACCTCTTCCTGTTTTGCATATTCACCCTTGAAGATAGAGGAAAAGGGTAATAACCTTGATACTGCAACCATTTTGTAACTGGAATTTCTCATAAATTGATCTAATGCACCTTAGCATGGCGTCATAATATTACTTCCACTTTGTGGGTCATATGCTTTTTTTTTGTGACACTAGTTCCCTTAAAACAGGTTCTCAGAATCCCAGACTAACAGCATCAGTAACTAGGAAACATGGTAGAAATTCAAATCCCCAACTCCTACTACTGATAAACTGAATGAGAAACTCTGGACCCTTGCATTCTGCTAAACACTTTCAACCTAGGCCATACTATTAGAACCATTGGGAAGAAGAGGGATGCTTGGAGTCTACCCTAGTTAAATTAGAATCAATTATAAACTAGGCCTGAACACTGATATTTAATGGCCTCAGCAATTTATTTTTTATCTTTGTGCCAGTACCAGGGTTTGAGCTCAGGGCCTAGGCTCCTTACTACTTGTTTCACTGTTCTACTTCCAGCTTTTGCTGATTAATTGGAGGTAAGAGTCTCAGAGACTTTTCCTGTCCTGGCTGGCTTTGAACTGGGATCCTCAGATCTCAGTCTCTTCAGAAGCTAAGATTATAAGCTTGAGCCACCTTCTCCCTGCTATTTATTAATAAACACATATTACAATTTTTTTTTTTTGGTCCAGTCGTGGGGCCTGAACTCTGGGCCTGGGCACTGTCCCTCAGCTCTTCAGCTCAAGGCTAGCACTGTACCACTTGAGCCACAGTGCCACTTCTGG